TTTAAAATTCATGTTTAAGTAATTATAAATATATTTTCTTTAGTAAAATAAAGTAAATATTAACCGTAAAATTAGGTTTCAAATTTCTTATTCAATTCACTGCCTTGCTCTAACTGCGCATGGAGTATACATAGCTCGATTAAACTATTCACGCATGTTGCACGACCTTTCCTCCTTTTGCTCGATTAGGGCACAAGAAACCCTTGCTCACTAGGAAAAATTTTCTGTTCGGACTCCGGACGTAGCTCTACGTGCAGACTCCAATAATATGTCATCACATGTGCTACATCGCGAAGGTTATTTTGAGGTTATTGAAGTGGAATCGCGGAAGTTATTTCATAGTTATTAAAGAAAAACCCATAGATTCCAAAATAAAACCGCGGAGGTTATTTCAGGTTTATTTCGGGGTTATTGAAGAGAAATTCATATATTCCACTTCTAAAACTCAAAATAAAATTTTGAATGTTATTTCGGGTTATTTCGGGGTTATTGAAGAGAATAACCCCGAAATAACTCCGCGAAGGTTATTTCGAGGTTATTGTAGAAAAGTTCACATATTCCACTTCAATAACCCTGAAATAACACCGCAGAAGTTATTTCAGGGTTATTAAAGAGAAACTCATATATTTCACTTCAATAACCCCAAAATAATATCGTGGAGGTTATGTCGAGGTTATTTTGGGGGTTATTGGTGTCCGCAGTTTCACTTCAATAACTTTTGCGGTTCTACTTTAATATTTTTTTTAGGTGAGCCCGATATAACACACATTGCGGTATATCACTGGAAGTCCACACGTAAAGCTACGTCTGTAGTCTGGATAGAAAATTTTTCCTGCTCACTGGATCGTCTGCTCGAAACAGTGATTCTTTGCACTCAGAAGGGCTCCAACAAGTCGTTCCTTTCCTAGCTCTGAGTCAAGCTTCTCACGCCTAGAAAATTGTAAAAATGGGGGAAAGCCGCTCATGCCTTATGGTGATTGATCAAGTGTCTCTTAATCATAGAGAAGCCCTGTACAGCTGCGGGAGAGGCGTGTAGCCTCTCCTTCCTCTCAATTTGCTGACGATGCAAGAGGAAGGCTCATTCGAGCCTCAATTGCTTGGTTGAACACACCTGTAGCTACACGGTACCTCCTCTTTTTTTTCTTTCTTTCTTCTTCCTTCTCTGTCTCTCACGCTCTCTCGTTCATTGCTCTTGTGGTGTCGAATGGGAGGAAATGAGGGAATAAGCTCTCGTTTACTTCATGCTGGCGGTGAAAATGATGTTCGAATGACACTTGCTTTACAAGTGTCGTAACAAGCAAATTCATTTCATTATTTTTTTAATAATATTATTATTTTATAAGTTATGTTAATAAAAAATTTATTAAGGGGTATTATTACATTCTCACCTTCTAATAAAGATTTCGTCATCGAAATTTAGAAGTACAAAAACATATTTCATGCTTTATTGAAATATTGTGGATGTATTTCTCTCATTTCTTATGTTTTTCTAAAATATCTTCTTTTTCAGTCTTGAGTATCCATAACACACAAACAAAAGAAATTGCTCTACTTCTGAGTTACTTCACACGACAGTTTATGATTCTTTCTGGTTCTTCTATAAAATTCCAGCTCAAACTGAATGTCTATGGGTATGTAACAAACTTGCTAGACTCATCAACAATATACTTCCGCGGGTAAGAAGATATGAAACAAATTATGTACCTCGTATAAATGTGTTGGTGGTGCAAGTATGTAAGCCACTTTCTCAATCTTCTTAACAATTTCATACGGACCAATATATGATGGTCTTAACTTTGCTGACTTTCCAAACCACGTAACACCTTTCATCGAACCGACCTTTAGAAAAACAAATTCCCCCACTTTAAATTTCACTAGTCAGTGCTTAGCATCATAATACTTTTTTTGTCCGTCTTGTACTGCTCTTATTCTCATGAACCAGTCAGATCTTTTCGGTTGTGCCATCAACAAAATCAACACCAATTATTTTCGTTTCACCAGTTTCTGCTCAACAAATGTGTTCTGTATTTTCTTCCATATAGGGCTTCATAAGGAGATATAGCTATTATGATCTGGAAGCTATTATTGTAGGCAATATCTATCAAAGGTATATGCATTTCCCAGTTTCTCCCAAAATCAAACAAAAAGTCCAAGTAGACCTTCTATCGTTCTTTATGGCTGACCGTCTGTTTGGGGATAAATACTGTACTGAATGTTAGTTGAGCACTCAAAGCTTTTTGAAATTTCCTCCATGGTCTGGATGTGAATCTACTATCTTGATCTGAAATAACAAACTTTGGGACTCCATGCAGTCACATAATTTCATCAACATAAATTCTGGCCAACTTGTCTATATAATATATTTGTCCAATGTGCAGACTCGATCGGACGATCGATAATAACTCATATAACATCACAACCCTGCTTTGATTTAGGTAGCCCAATCACAAAATTCATAGCAATATCCACCAATTTTCACTCTGGTATGTATAACAGTTGCAACAATCCACTAGGATTTAACTCAACCATTTGACAAGTAGGACATATTACCATGAACTATGCTACATTATGCTTCAACACTGGCCACCAAAATAAGCCTTTAAACTCTTGATACATCTCATTGCTTTTCGGATGTATGGTGTATCCTGAATAATGTGCCTCATGCAGGATTTCTTTCCCTGGGAATATAAATTCTATTCTTGCATCTCAATAACTTTTCTTCATCAATCTCATAAGCCATGGTCAAGCTGATACAAGGAGCTGGATTGACTATTTGGTGGAGTTGTAGTGTCTAGAGGAGATTCAGGATCTAGAGTCAATAGAGTTCTCCGAGTGTGTTCAATAGCTTCTACAATAGTTTTCTTATATCTTTCAGCAATCTAACGGGTTACCTCCACTAAGGGAGCACAAGCATGTCATTAAATTAAAGGAAGGAGTTTCTCCTATTAGTGTCAGACCATATTGGTATCTCCATATTTAGAAGGATGAGATGGAGAGGTTGATTAGGAAGATGCTCAAGACAGGGATTGTCAGGTCTAGTGTCAGCCATTTTTTTCAGTCCAACGTTATTGTCGAAGAAGAATGATGGTACCTGGAGGTTTAATGTGGATTACAAGGCTTTAAACGAAGAAATTGTGTCTGAAAAGTTTCATATTCTGGTGATTGATGAGTTGTTAGATAATCTTTTTGAAGAAGCCATCTTCTTGAATATTGATATGAAATCGGGATACCATCCGATCAGAATGAAGCCAACTAATGTGCATAAGACAACTTTCTTGAATCATGTATCAGACAGGGACAAGATGTTTCCTCAGCCATTTCTGAACGGAACTATTCTGATTATAGAAGGCAGACTAGTACAACATATCATCCCCAGACAGATGACTAGACAGAGGTGGTCAACAGGAGTGTAGAGACATATCTATGTTGTTTTGTATCAGATATGCTAAAGCTTTGGGCAAAATGAATTGTTTGGGCTAAGTATTGGTATAACACTTCGTACCATATTGTAGCTTAGGATTTATTATTCGTATCGGTTGTGCTCATCTTAGCTTAGGATTTGAGGCACTTTGTTTCTCTTTTGCTACGGGGTAAGTCCTCATCTTCTATGCCTTTTCATAATTTTATGATGTTGAAATACAAGTCCCAATATTTTAATAAATTAAAAATTCAAACATAAATTGAATTTCAATCTAAAATATAAAGCTCAACCTTAGAATGGTTTGAAGTGTCATTGAATCTCTCAGTATTCGACGCTTCACACTTTTCTTACTTATCTTTTTTATGCTTCCGATAATAAATGTTCCCAAATTTGATTGTATTCTAGTTGGATTTCTAAAATAACGATCTTGTATCAAAACTTTAAAATCAACATAAACATGAAAGTTTTTGTTTTAATTGATAATCTTTTTAGTAGAAGACAGCTTTTACGATGTAATTAAATATACGAGTTTGTCATTATAAGGAATTTGTTTATCTGAATAAAATAAATCACGTCCTATCCAAATGTGGCAGAGGAAAATTCTCTAGCTCACGTCATCTTTTGAAATATCTTATTTAGTGATTGAGTTGATTATGGAATGATACTTCTATATTTCTAGATATTATATTATTCTTAAGATAATATTTGATTCCCTAAAAAAGAAATTTAAAATTTATGGTTTAATTTGAGTTTGAGATTTTAAAGAGTGCTCCTAAATACTGGGTTTAGATTAAACTTTTAATTTAGGAGATTTTAGACATTACATAATGTACATTTCACTCAGTATCTTATATAAAATATATTTAACACCTTGTCATTTTCAGTAGGGAGAATAGAGTATAGAGAATGAGGATTCATGAAGTCAACTTTAAATAGTCAGGATAAGGCTAATAATAATGATACTACTATTGCCATTGTTTCCCTTGATGTTCATGATAGTTGTATGAATGTCAATATCATTATTATTTCAAAATCGTGCTGCCACTCAGACTTTGTTAGGATGTGAGGGAATATCTGGTTTTGGGAGCTTTACCACGCAGTCTAGTGGAACCGATCCAAAGTTTCTTAGGAAAAGTTTGAATGAGTTTGGAGGGGTAGTTAAATCCAAACTACCTGCTATATGATATAGTACTGTACTGCTATTTTCTCTGTTCTGATTTCTGAACACTATTTGTAAATATGGAAGTTTAGATGTGAGATATGTGAATACATAAGAATTGTGTGCTACTTATGTAAATTTCCCTTTCAAGATACTATTATGACAAGCAAATCTATAATTCTGTTTTTATGTATTTACATATATAGGACTTTGGTGCTTTTACCTATGCATGAAAAGGTGCATTTCACTTTAAAAAGTAGCAATAGATTTTTTGTGATATTAAAGAATTGAGTGTTATGTGTCTAAATATGAAGGTTTAGGTGTAAGATATGTAAATGCATTAGAATTTTGTGCTATGTATGTAAATGGCCCCTGTTGTTTATACTGTTTCTCTAACTGCAAAGTTACTTTTGTTGTCAGGACAATGTTAGAAATCAGCTGATCCAATTTGAGCTGCTGCTCACTACTGGAACATTTGTCGTCGCTATCTTTGGGGTTGTTGCCGGAGTTTTTGGTATGAACTTCGCCATACCGTTGTTTGACAATCCAATTGCATTTCAGTGGGTACTCGTTGTTACTGGAATTTGCGGCATCATCATCTTCTGTGGCTTCTTGTGGTATTTCAAACACAGAAGACTAATTCCTTTGTAGAAACACTGATTTTTAATTCTGCATCAAAGCAGATCTACCAATTCAGTAAGAGGCATCCTTTTTTGGCTTCCATCAATGTATCATCATTCTTTTTAGCTTGTTACTGTTGTAAGTAATGCCTTAATAATGCATTATATGCTTTATTATGTGGCTGCTTGCATTTCTAGCTCCTTTATTTTAGCTTAGATGCATATATTAAAAGTGATTTATGCATAGAGATGCATGTTTTTTTAGCTAGAAATGTTATTCAGGGACGTTTGGCCAAATTTTTATTGAATAGGATGAAATCTTATGATATTTTCGATTGCTTGAATGGTTTTCAATTTTGCCCATCTCTAAGAGTATTTAGGTTCAAAGCGATATCTCTGTGGACTCCATCCTCTAAATTTAAAAGAAAAAACTTGTGATAAAATTTAGAAAGATTTATATACATACCACCCAATTCGTATGTGCTTACATATCTAACACCTAAACTTTAGTTTTTACATGCATACCATCTCACCTATGCATGCAAATGTGTATTTCATTTTCTTAAAGTTAAAATAGTGGGTTTTTTATGTGATATGAAATATGTGGGTGGTATAAATGTAAAGTAAATTTTAGATGTTTAGTATATAAATACATTGGTATGTATTTTCTAAACTTTATTTGTTGAATTCAGCCCTTAGGTATTTTTATCTTGTTTTGCTGCTGGTGTTTTGGTTTTTGCTGTTTTTTGAGAAAATATTGCATCTGGAGTCCGGATGCGAGCTATGTCCGGACGACGGATGCGATACACTGGGTGGTGTTTTTTTTTTCTCTCCGTTGTGCCCGGTGTATCTTTAGATTGCCTGTTGTTCCTACGCATTTTGCTACTTAATGTTTTTTTCTGGAAGTGATTTTGTTGCCGGTTGCTTTTGATCAAATATCAATTCAGAGGATGCAACATGGTTCTATAATGCTTTTTTTAATTTTTGTGGCATTTACATGCATACCACCCATTTCGTATGTATTTACATATCTAACACCTAAGCTTAATTTTTTACTTTCATGCCATCCAAATCTTCGATATCACATCAAAAATACCATATTTTCATGCATAGGTAAGGTTTTATGTTTGTAAAAATTGAATTTTAGCCGTTGGATATGTAAATACATAAGAATTGAGTGGTATGTATGTAAATCTTCCTTGACTGATATTATTAGAGATGGGCTGGAAGATTCTAAATTCTGGATTGGCAGCATAAATTGCTGATTCTAAGATTGGCTGGATTAATATGCTTATTGGATTTCATGATTATTTCTCTGTTTTTTGGCTCTTAATTTACTGAGAGGGAATTCAATTGACTGTAGCTTGGCTGTTGAATCAACGGGCTTTCACCGAACCGATTTTGATTTTTCGGATTGGGACGAGTATGAGTTTGATTGAATAGGTTGGTTATTTTGGATTGAGCTCTGCTTTGCTTTCCTTTTCAAATTATTTCTCCATTTTGTTTTGACTTAATGTATGTACGTATGCCATGCGAATGTGTGTGTATATGTATATGTGTATACTGAGAGAGAGAGAGAGAGAGAGAGAGAGAGAGAGAGAGAGAGAGAGAGAGAGAGAGAGAGGTGTGAGTGGTTCTACTCACAAATCTACTTTGTGAGTTAGTTTTTTACATAGTTGCAATTGAAATGAGTAGGTCCATAAAAAGTAGAAACTTTATCTAAAATGTAAAGACAAATGACGAATTACTATCTTAGAACTTGAGGAGGTGTTAGAAATACCATATGAAGACATACATTGCATGCAATAAATCACACCAATGATTGTTGCAACGTCATTTGATATTTGGCAGAATATTTGGGCCAAATAGTGAGGGCTCTTCATCACTTAGTAACTAAAATAAGAAAATACTTAAATTTAAATTTCCAAAATCAATTTTGAGGAGATGCATGCATAAGTGATATCATAAATTATTTTTCCAAGTGACAACTACCACAATAAAAGTAATGTGGCGGTTTTCAAATCAACGGCTAGAAAGATATGATGCAAGAAAATTCATACAGGGAAGTTGTTGAAAACCTTAAACATGTTTCATAGAGCTTATGTGAACCCTTAAAAGAACACTTTTTAGAGATGTACGGGATGATTTGAGAAGATTTTGAACGAATTTGCAAGACAAAAAACATGCTTCTTAGAAGAGATTCTAGAGGACAGAGTAATTGATAAGGACTCGAGGAGTTTCCATGAGGCCCTCCTCAAGAGGAGATCACAAGGGTGCTTATTGGGACATGTTAGTTGAATATTATTTTAGTTGGTGCGGTATTATAACATAAATGTTTGATGTTATCTTGCTATTATTGATGCAGTCACTTGTTTTGATGAAATTTGCATCAGGTCTTCAAGAAAGGATTTTGTACTTACTCTTGCCCTAGCAACTTACCAAGGCTACCAACATTAAAGGTATTGAAGTATTACATTATCAATGAATGATAATAATGTTGCCCTCTAGGTGGATGACAATTTTATAGTGCATCATGTTGCCCTCCAGATTCGAACTGACTCTTACCTGATAAATTATTTTAAAAGGAACTCTATTTTTCAATTTTAAAATGTCATCTCAATGAAACTTTAACAACCCTATCATCCCCACCACCATCACCAAAATTATTTTTCCTATTTTATTACAACTTTTATCTCTATATCATCCAAGCATGATTGGCCTTCCCTATATAAATGTTCAATACCATACTAAACATCTCTCTCTCTCTCTCTCTCTCTCTCTCTCTCGCTATATATATATATATATTCTCTATTTGTGCTTTTTTGCTCAACAATTCATCCAAATTTAACCGACCAACTTAAGACATTGGAATTTGAAAGCTTTTTTCTACCAATCAATATATTACATTCCTAAATATAAGATTCCAAATAGCTAACAACAAAAATATAAGCCAACTTCTACTCATAATCCAGAAAAGCCTCCCATTTTGGTCTGTTCAGAAATAAACTTAGTAGCTGATGGTGGTGGTGAGGCCTCCAATGGAACTTCTCCAAGTTCTTCCTGTCCTTCCAGAACCCTAACAATATCACAACTATCAGGTCTCAAATCAGGCACTCTCTGCAAGCACAACAAAGCTATATCTATACAGAGTCTGACTTCATCCCTGTCATAAGAACCTTTCAAATTCTCATCCACAATATCCAACACACTCCCTCTCTGCGCCAGTTTCCTGCACCAGCTTATAAGATTACCCCTACCAAACGCCATTGGTGATTCCAACACATGTAAAGGTCTTCTCCCTGAGATAATCACGAGAACCAGAACCCCAAAGTTATATATGTCGGCCTTCTCTGTCAAATTCCCACAGCCACTATTCTCCGGAGCCATATAGCACACAGTTCCTCTCATACTCCTTGTCCTGCTTAGCTCTTCGCTGAATAGATCTCCACCGGACATCTCATGGCTTGCTGTTCTGCTCTTCTTCTTCTTCTTCTTCTTCTTCTTCCAGCTGCTGTCATCCAAATTGCTGCTGTTACTGGTTTTGAAACACTTGAGGCTTTTATAATCTTTTCCCTTGTTGTTTATCTCATCGAAGTACTCCTCCTTCCACCATTCCCTCATCTTCCTGCCCCCCTTACTGCATTCATTTGCGCTCAGACCGGGGTCTGTAAAATTAGTTTCATCATCTTCGAATCTCTGGCTTCTGAATTCATGGGAGCTTCCGTAAACTTCATCTAAAGATGGAATCTTTCTGGGGAAAATCTGACCTCCAATCCACTCCCTCGCACAATCTCTACTACTTCCCCCGCTTCTTTTATCCTCGTTCCACCTCCATGCCCTTCCATCATCCACCGGACAACTCGGGTGTAAATCCTTGTTTTTCTCAATGCAGTCGAGCTCATCATCACATGGGCTCACCGCCGACTCCTTCCCCATTCGTCTCCCCTTCCTTTCATGATTCAGACCAGAAGAAGAAGAAGAAGGACGAATGTGCAGAGTTGTATCTTCACTCTTTAGCCGTGAGAGACCGAAATCAGATAACTTGGCCCTGAAATCATGGTCAAGGAGGACATTACTGGGCTTAATGTCGCCATGGATGATCGGGGAATCCCTTAGATGGAGAAAGGTGAGAGCTTTCACGAGGTCCTGGATGATCTGAAACCTTCTTCTCCAATCTAGAACCGGTCGGCGGAGACCGAAGAACAGCTCTTGCAGACTTCCATTGCTCATATACTCGTAGACAATCAGGCGATGTCGATGGCCCTCGAAGCAGTAGCCGAGGAGGGAGACAACGAAGACCGATTGGCGCAGGTTAGAAAGCACCTGAAGCTCGTTCAGAAACTCGCGGTCGCCGGAGGAAGATTCCGGCGAGGCAGGGGGTATGTTCAGGCGCTTGACAGCGACGGACATGCCGTCTGGGAGGACGCCGAGGAAGACGGTGGCGGAGGAGCCTCGGCCGAGGGAGCGGGAGGCGGCGGAG